TCTATTTGCGATGTTATATTTGGACGAGTTATCAATGGTACTCTAACATTTGGCTGACCAAAAGTTGGTATTAATGGGATAAGTCTATAATTCATTTGGTCACGATACTTATCAATCAAACATCTATCAGCTTCAGTCAGATAGTAATGATTGATCTTATTGTCATCTTGATTCTTGTGTTCTTCCATTTGAGTCATGATAGTCAATGATTACGGATCCACTGTAGTATATCAGTTAGATCTTTTGATTAATGTTTATTATATAAATCAAAATTGTGAGACACTACATTATTATATATTGTTCTCATATTAATCTTCTCATATTCAATTTAAGTGTACCCTTCTTTAAGTATAGTGCTCATCTAAATATTAATCAACTCGAGATTACAGAATGAGACTTTAAGTGAGAATATTATATATTGTATATGTAAAATACACAATGTGTAGTAATCATGTGAATACTTAGCTGTCTGAAGCTTCTTCAAATGATCATTGATGTGTGCTTCAAGGAGAAAAGAGCCAAGGGCATCGACCCATTTAATTATATACTGTGTTGTACTATTATATCTATGACACGTTCAACTATAATAGAAGACGTCAAGCTTCAACTCAATCACCCAATATTAGTGCACAAACACCTGCTGTTGAAACTTGAAAGGTCAGTTAATTGAAGTACTAATGTTCGACTCTTATAGTTCTAAAATTTCTTTATCACATGCATACATATAGCTTAGATCGAGATTCAAATGATCCCTTGTTTAAACAATAGAGATTCAAGATTCGGTACCCATCATCCATGTATATCAATATGCAGTTTACTGTATAATGATCTGTACTAAAGTCGATTGCTGCAGGCTGTAACTTGTAAGTTGTAAGGCTCAATCCAATGCATAACTATGCAACTGAACTTCGAAAGTTGAAACCTAGTACAAATTAGTGTCTAATTCGAGAAAGACTTATAGCTGTATATTGGCTGATTTTGAAAACCAGGAATAATATTGTATATTATATATATTATATTATATAAACAGCCGACAGATGTAAAGTATATAGTATATAGATCGCATATAGATATATTATACTAGCTGCATAAGCCAGCTTTATCTTCATGATCTCTAGATATATTATAAAAGTTATATAATTAATATAGCATGTTTGAAACAATTGGATCTCTAATAATTATCTATACACTACATATAATTACATACATATATTAATTACATATTTATTGATCAACCGACATCATGTTTGCAATAATGTCGATTCCTGATAAGATGGTGGTGGTGGATTATCTAAATCATAAGTTGATTTACCAGGGATGAAATTAATCTGCATAGCTGAAATACTATCTCGAAGACCTTTGGAATTTGAAATTATAGAAATTCTTTCATTGAAATATTTTGAAGCCTCTACACCAGGTATTGGAAAGCTTTTATCTATATTATTATTTGATAGCGATGATTTTTAGTTATGAATATAGCAGTATGAGTTTCACTTTCAAAAAAATTTAGAAATCCATCAATTTCTTTAAACTCACCACCAAATGTTAAAACATTAATTAAATTTTCCAACATTGGTATTAATGGTTCAGTATTTGGTGTATATACAAGACATAATTTCAATCTTCGATAATCTTTCATGAATCTTTTGTGAGAAAGTATAGGTTCTTGATTTTCTCTGAACTTATAACTCATATGGTCTAAACCATCACTCACATTAACTGGTAAATTTTGAGCTTTATTTAAAGTTTCCAATTCTTCTTTTTTCACACAATAATCTAGTAAAATTTTTGTTAATGAACTAATTAAATATTGTCTTAGCTATCTGCGTCTGTTTTGATTGGATTATCTTTAGCTGGTCTGAAATAATAAAATGAACTAGCAAAATGATCAGTTACAGTCTTTAAATTTGTAGAATTTGATCTTTCTTTAGTGAACATGAAAGAAAACAACTTAATAGGCATTCTACGGTGTTTTGAAGACGATTTTAACTTAAAATCTGAAGTTATTGACCATGGATTTTCAGGATATGCTCTTAACGTTGATGATTTTGGTTTGATATCCAACATTGGCCAGCACAATTTCGTTTCTATCTTTGATATTACATTTGGACAAGTTATCAATGGTACATTAACATTTGGTTGACCAAATGTTGGTATTAATGGAATAAGTCTATAGTTCATTTGGTCACGATACTTGTCAATCAAACATCTATCAGCCTCAGTCATATAGTCATGGTTGATCTTATTATCATCTTGATTTTTGTGTTCCATTTGAGTAATGATAGTCAATTATTATGAGTGCAATGTAGTATTTCAATATTAGATCCTCTGATTAACGTGTTACTTTATATATGAATTCAAATATATTATAATATGAGTAATTACATGATTATATATACTTCTCGCAAACTTCTCATGAAATAACTCTTCTTAACTATAGCACGCAATATACTCAAAAAACAACTCAGTCTACCAGAGAAGAATAACTACCATCTCCATCCCTCATTATATTATAACAATTACATCAATTATATCAAAACTAGTTAAAATATTGAAATTATTGAAACATTACTCAAAGTCTATACTTCTTACTAATAACTTACCTAATCAACAATATGACGTAATTTCCATTTTTATTGTCTTTGCTATTTTAATTAAAAATTCGCGAACATTTTCCTTGGAAATTTGGAGAAATCAAACGAATAAACAAGAAATTAAAATTCAAAAATTTAAAAAGTAAACAAATTTTATGGAATATAATATTGAATACCTTCATTTGGATCATTATCATCAACAGGTTGTTTACAAGAAAGACTTTGTGCAAGTACATCCGTGCACCCTCACATTCAGATATCACCCATCACACGACGCCCTTCCACACGCTCTCTTATCTTATCAGGTTCGAGGTGAAGTTAAGTACCCCTGGTAAAAGACATTTGATTTAGATTGATTTTCCAATAGAGCTATAGATCAAAAAAATCCATATTTGTTGATTTCTATCTGTTTATTATCTGCTGCTGATTTTGTTATTGTTGTTGTTTGTCATTTTTCACTGATTATCATTATATTAATTTTTGACACCAAATTATATTCTCATATAATAAACCCCCAAGATTCATACTCTTAATGATATTTCAACTTACAAGTAATCATGTCAGATCATAGTGAATATCAACAATTAACTCTTAAGGAGTCCTACCTTGTAGGTGCTCCTCTATTATATTTTACAACATGTTTTGTTAGTACTGGTGTTTTATTATTTGGTTTTGAACAAGGTGTTATGTCTGGTTTATTAACAAATGAATTATTTAAAAATTATTTTGATAATCCTTCAAGTGCTGCTATTGGTACTATGGTTGCTATTTTGGAAATTGGTGCATTAATTTCTTCATTATTATCTGGTAAAATTTCAGATAAAATTGGTAGACGTCGTACTATACGTTATGGTGCATTAATTTTTGCAATTGGTGGTGCTTTACAAGCTTTAACTCCAAGTTTTATACTTTTAACTATTGCAAGATTTATTTCTGGGTTAGGTGTTGGTTTATTAACTACTGTGGTACCAATGTATCAAACTGAAATTTCTCCACCTCATTCAAGAGGTCGTTTAGGTTGTGTTGAATTTACTGGTAATATTTCAGGTTATGCAATTTCAGTTTGGGCTGATTATTTTTGTTCATTTTTAGATTCAAATATGGCTTGGAGAATTCCTTTATCAATTCAAAGTTTAATTGCTATTGCATTATGGTTTGGTTCTTATGTTATTGTGGAATCTCCAAGATGGTTATTAAATCATGATCATGATGCTGAAGGTATTGTTGTTATTGCAGATTTAACTGCAGGTGGTAATGTTCAAGATGAACGTGCAAGATCAGAATATCGTGAAATTAAAGAAACTGTATTATTACATCGTTTAGAAGGTGAATCTTCATATCGTTATATGTTTAAACGTTATAAAAAACGTGTATTCATTGCAATGTCTGCACAAGCATTAGCCCAATTAAATGGTATAAATGTTATATCATATTATGCTCCTTTAGTTTTTGAACAAGCTGGTTGGAAAGGTCGTGATGCTATATTAATGACTGGATTTAATTCATTAATTTATGTTGCATCAACATTACCTCCATGGATTCTTGTTGATAAATGGGGTAGAAGACCAATTTTATTATCAGGTGCAATTATAATGGGGATTGCATTAACTGCAGTTTCTTATTCACTTTATGTAAATACTGAAAAAACAAGACATTTAGTTGTTATATTAGTTTTCATTTTCAATGCAGGTTTTGGTTATTCATGGGGACCATTACCTTGGTTATTACCAAGTGAAATTTCACCTTTAAGTATTCGTGCAAAAATTGCTTCATTAGCAACTGCATCAAATTGGGCTTTTAATTGGTTAGTTGGTGAAATGACTCCAATTTTACAAGAATTAATTACATGGAGATTATATTTAATTCATTCAACTTCATGTTTTATATCATTTTTTGTTGTTTATTCATTTTATCCAGAAACTGCAGGTGTTACATTAGAAGATATGGATTCAGTTTTTGATGATCGTTCATCAACTTTTAGTTTCCATGGTTCAACATATCAACCAATTGATTCAGAATCACAATCTTTTAATAATGATGATTCACAAAGTGGATTAAATAATTTATCAAATGCTGCATTACAAAGACAAAAAGCTTTAATAAATCCAACTGTTGATGTTACAAATCCTTTATTAACAAGACAAAAATCTGAAACTTCATTTAGAACTCAATTACAAGGATTTCAACAACAACAACAAGTACCAATTCCAAATTCTCAATCATCTCAATATAGTGTTGAACCTCCAGGGATTGAAGAAATTGTTAAATATAAAAATAGTGATCAACATTCATTAAGTTCATCAATTAGAAGATCAAGTGCGACTGTTAGTTCATTTATGGGAAAAGCTGGTAAAGCTTTTAAAAAAAAGAAGAAGAATAATACAATTGAAAATCCTAATAATGATGTTAATGAAAGTGTTTTCGATCCATCAGATCAAGAATCTTTAGCATCAAATGAACAAGTTTGATTTTTGATATTATAAATTTTCTATGTTGTGTTGTTTTTTTTTTTTTTGTATTACACTGTTCAGTTCTTATATAGATTCATTAAATTTGTAATCTTTTCCATTATATATATATCTTTATACTTTCATTTTATTATATATTATTTATTATATAGTTCAGCTTACATAGCTGTTTTGTTGTTTAACGGGATTAAAAAAATAAAAAGTTGATAAAAATTTATGAATGTGTAGGTAGATAGAACTTTGTACTACAGGTGGATATAAAACCAAAAACACTTTAATTAATATAATACAACTCAATGAAACCAGTTCATTGTTTTAATTCATCATCAATATATCTAATCTTATCAACATCATCATCACTATTACCATGTTCATGAATAGCATTACTAATTTGAGATTTAACAACATGTAATTGATCAGGATTTGAATTTTGCCATTCTCTTAATTTATAAGTTTGACCAGTTAAATCCCAATAAAGACCTCTACAAGTTGTAAAAATTCCAAAACGACCTTCCCATAATGGATAAATACAAACCATAAAAGCAGTGAAAAATAACCAAATTAATAAAACTGTAATCCAACCTGTGAAAAATTTTTTTGAAAAAATATATTTTGATCCATATAATGGCATTGGCCATAATATTAAAAATGCTAATGCAAAAAATGCACAAATCCATGAAGCATATTTAGCAGATTTTGCTAAATGTTCAGTTTCTTCTTGTAATAATTTTTCTTTATTTGATTTTGCCAATTGTTTACCTATAGTTGCAACTGATGTAATTGGATTTAATCCTCCAGATTCTTTATCTTGAGGTAATGGTTCACCTTCACTTGATAAAATTTCCTCGGTTTCATCAACACGTGAAATAGATTTAAGGATTTCCCAATCAAATGATTCATGTTTAAATGCAAATGTTAAAATTGGTATGAAAATTGCCGGGGATAATAATGAAACAATATTACCAATCAACATAACATGATCTTCAAATAAATTATCATAAGTAACAGAACCATATAATGATTTTGCTGAAGCAATCCAACTAATTAATCCAACTATTGAACCAAGAACAGGAGAAATTGTAGCAGCCATCCAATTTTGTTTTGACCAAAAAATTGTTAATGAAGCAGGTAAAACAGCAGATGAAATAATAACACCCATTAATTCATAAAGAAATCCCATTGAAACACCACCATAATGTAATCCAATTGAAAACCCAATCATTGAAGCACCAAATCCAATACATGTAGCATGAGAAATCATAATTAATTTTTTACCAGATGCTTGTGGGTTAATATAAGATTTATAAATATCATAAGTAAATAATGAAGATGCAGCAATTAATTCAGCACTCATTGCAGAAGTAACAGCCATGAAAACTAATAATAATGAAGCCATTGCACCACCTTTACCCAAAAGGGTATAAGCAGCAACTGGTAAAACTAAACCTTCAGCAACTTGTTCATTTGAAAGACCATTTGGATAATACATAAAACTTGGAGAATCTTCTAAACAACGACATGCAAGTCCTAAAGTTGTTGAAATTAATGCAGGAATTGCAAACCATGCTAATCCACCAAGAACATAACCTGGTAAAGCAGCAGCAGGTGATGCAGCAATAGCTTTATTCCAATAACCTTGATCTAAGAAAACAGTACCAAAATTTCCCACAATGTTTATAACAAAGAATAAACCACCAGATTTTGAATTAAAAGTTAGATATGATCCCTCGTGATTACCTTCAATTGGTTTTGTTTTGGCTAATTCAGTTAATTTATCATAAACAACACCTGGAGAACCTAATAAAGGACTTGAAGCATAAACAGCAAATGCAAATACAAATATAATAACCACAATAACAATAGTATGAACATAATCAGTAAGGAATGTTGCTTTAATACCACCAAATAAAGTATAAACAATAGTACCTAAAGGTAAAAGGAAAATTGCAGCAACAGGATGCATTCCAGTTAAGAAATTAACAGTTGCAGAACCACCAGCTAATAACATTGCAGTAACCAAGATATTTGTTGCAACTGCAAAATAAGTATAAATTAAATGAGTAATTTTCCCATAACGACATTTAATAATTTCTAAATAAGTATGAGCACCAGGAGCAATTTGTTTTGATTTAATTGAAAGTGCAGAAAAAAGGATAACTTGAACACAAGCACCTGAAGCATACCAAAATCCACCAGATATACCATTTTTATAAGCTTGTGTGGTACTTTGTAACAAAGTTGCAGCCCAAGTCCAAGAACTAACAACAGCAGCTGCGATTAATGAAGTATTAACAGATCTACCAGCAGTAGCAAATTCTTCAGCAGTAATGATTTCTTTTTGATATCTTCTCAACATTGCAGTAACTGCAATCATCCCAAGGGCAAATACAGCACCTAAACCAACAAGAATTGCATAACCAGCACCTTGTGGTAATGGATAACCTTCAAGCATTGTTATATTGTTATCGTATTGTTATATGATGCAAGAGTTCTAATGTATCTGAAACATGAATTTTACCAGGATCTTGTGGGATACTTATATATCATTCTGAAGCATCTCATTATCAAATGCATATCAATTGTACTCAACATATCAACCGTTGAATCATTATCAGTATCTGTCATTGATCATCGGTGAATGAAAATTTTTATAGATAAGGAATAAATCCGTGAATTGTCGAGATAAGCAATGGATTCTGGTTCTCAATTTGGTAATAAGCGAGTTGGTTAATCCTCCAATGAGAGTTGAGTATTGTACTCTGTGTTTGTGAAGTTGTGGCTAATATTGTATGGCTGATTGTGTCAAATGTCTATTGAATCCTAAGTAAATCCATGTTTGACACTAATCTAAAAACATTCTTGTCTTTTAATTATTCTTAGTATTTACCCTCCAAGTCTTCCAAGTCTTTAAAATCATTTTGTTTTTCTGTTTTTCTGTTGGTGATGTTTTTCTTTCCGCCTAGATTAAGAAACCGGCGAAAATTCAAAATTTTATTTAAAGACTGTGAAAGTGCAACGTAACCAAATTAGCCGCTGATAATCAAAACCTCAAAATCAAAGCAAAGCAAATCATGGCGGTTAATCAACAAAGTGTTTGTGGTAAAGGACCCTGCTCTCTTGACTGTGTTGAAAAAGTGGTTGAAAGCTCTGAAACTTCATCAATCAAAAGTTTCCAATTTGTATTAAACGAATACAAGAAATGTCTTGAAACTGGTCAATGTCTATGTCGTAAATTTATTAATCAATTGGATCAATGTTGTAATGGGAAACCTGTTTTAAATTCAGTTTCAATCTATCAAGATGAAGAATGTTTTGGTTCAAGGTCAAGGTCTTCTCATTTCGTTCCAAGATGTCGTTCTAAAAAGAAGAAATGTGGTCAATCAAATGAGAAATCTAAGGAGGTTAATAATGATGATATTAATTGTATTGATTCTTGTTGTGATGCCAAAAAACCATTAGATTCTGGTTGTGATGATGGTGCTAAGGATTCATGTTGTGATGAAATTGATGATAATGGTGATGATTCAGTTGATTCGTGTTGTGATGGAAACTCCGAAGTTGCTGATACTAAAAGCTTGGATTCTTGTGGTGGTGATACTAAACCAAATCGTGAAGTTGATGCTAAGGTTAATGATTCTTGTTGTGGTGGGGGTGGTACTGCTGATGAATTGGATTCTTGTTGTGATGATAAAGTCGAATCTGGTTGTAAGAATGACCCCATGGTTAAAGATTCATGCTGTACTGGTAAAGCCAATCCACAGACTTGTACTAAAGGTTTGAACCCTTCTGATTTGGATTCTTGTTGTGGTCAAGATGAACTTGATGATGAGCCTGACAAGGATCTAGATTCTTGTTGTGATGATGGAATTGCTATTTCTTCACCGATTGATAAATTTAATCAAAATACCATGGATTTAGAATCACAATCAATGACTAACCATGTTTTTTTAAAAGTGGAAGGTATGACATGTACTGGTTGTTCCAAAAAAATTCAAAATGTTTTGAATAAAATTGATTCAATTATTGAAATTAATCCAAATTTTGTCACCGGTACTGTTGATTTTAAAAATTTAAATTCAAATGTTTGCTTAGATGAAATTATCAATAAATTGGTTAAAAGCACAGGTTTTAGATTTGATATTATTAATCATGATAGATCTGATTTACAAGTTTTAGAAATTAATTCAAAATTACCTTTACATGATTTAGAATTTAAATTAAAAGATCATATCTATGAAATTGAATCAATTGGGAAATCAAAAGGTAAAGCTTCATTCATCATTAAATTCAATCCTCAATTAATCGGTGCAAGAGATTTATTATCTAAGATTGATGATGATGACAGTGATTATGGATATGAAAAAAATTGGGAATTATCAACTCCAAAGGATAATTCAAATGATGGTATTAACATTATTCATTCATTATTAAAATGTATTATTTCATTGGTTTTAGCCATCCCTGTTTGTGTCTTATCATGGTCAAATCCTGAAAATTTGAATTATAAAACAAAATCAATAATTCAATTAACTTTAGCCTCGATTATTCAATTAATTTCAATTAAAGAATTTTATATTGGTGCAATTCGTGAATTGTTTTTCTCTCATGTTTTAGAAATGGATATGTTGATTGTTATTAGTATTTCTGCTGCTTATTTTTATTCTTTGGTTATTTTTATTATGAAACATGTTGGTATTAATACTGCTTCAAATGAAGAAATTTTTGAAACAAGTTCATTATTAATCTCCCTAGTGTTAATTGGTAGATTTTTATCAAATTATGCTAAAATTAAAGCTAAAACTTCAGTTTCAATTAAATCTTTACAAGTTCAAAATGCAATCTTGTTGGAAGGAAATAATCAAATTGAAATTGATTCTCGTTTAATTCAATTAAATGATAAAATCATTATCCCATCACATTCAAGAATCGTTACTGATGGTATAGTTATTCAAGGTTCCTCATCAATTGATGAATCAATGATTACAGGTGAATCTATTCCAGTTCCAAAAAATATAAATGATCAAGTCATTGCAGGTACTTTAAATGGTTCAGGAAATTTAATCATTATGGTTACAAGATTACCAGGTCAAAATAGTATTAATGATATTTCTAAATTAGTTGAATCTGCAATGTCAACAAAACCAAAATCTCAAGAATTAGCTGATTTAATTTCAAGTTATTTCATCCCAGTGGTAATTACAATTGGGTTTTTAGTCTTTATTATTTGGATCATTATTGGATTAAAATTACAAAACAATCCACCAGGTAAATCAATTTCCCAAGCAATTACTTATTGTATTACAACTTTAGCAATTTCATGTCCATGTGCTATTGGGTTAGCAGTTCCAATGGTTTTAGTTATTACATGTGGTGTCTTGGCTAAAAATGGTATTATTGTTAAAAGTTCAAAAATATTAGAAAATACATTTAAAATTACTGATATTGTTTTCGATAAAACTGGAACTCTAACTAATAATAGATTAAATGTGGAATTTTTAGAAATTTTGGTCAATAATGAGATTAATGAAATTGGTATTAAAACTTTAATTAAAAAAATGACACAAAATAATGAACATCCAGTTTCTAAAACTATTTCAGAATTCCTTAGTAAATTTGAATCAACTAAAGTTGAAATATTAGGTATTAAAGATATTTCAGGTCAAGGTATTACTGCTAAATTTCCAAATGGTTCAATCTTGAAACTCGGTAATCTATATTGGACAAAACAAGATTCAAACGTTAAAGTTATTGATATTTTAAATAAAGGTTTAACATCATCATGTTTAACTATTAATGATGAATTGGTTGCTATCATCGGATTAAGATCTCAATTGGTTCCAAATGCATTGAAAACAATTAATCATTTCCAAAAATTAGGTATTGTTTGTCATATTGTTAGTGGTGATCATAAAACAGCTGTTGAAGATGTTGCAAATTCACTTGGAATTTCTCAAAAAAATATCAAATTTAGATCAACACCTTCTGAAAAGCAAGAATATATTAAAAATTTGAAAATCAAAGATTCTAAAAAAATTATTTTATTTTGTGGTGATGGTACTAATGATTCTGTTGCAATTGCAGAATCTGATATTGGTGTTCAAATTGGTACAACTTCAGATTTAACAAATTCAGTTTCTGAAGTTGTTTTATTAAATGGTATTGAAGGTTTAATTAATTTATATAATTATTCAAAAAAATCATTTAATAGAATTATTTTCAATTTTATTTGGTCAGGTTTTTATAATTTATTTGCAATTTTATTGGCATGTGGTGCTTTTGTTAAAATTAAAATTCCACCAGCTTATGCAGGTCTTGGTGAATTAGTTAGTGTTTTACCTGTTATTTTTGCTGCTTTAACAATTTATTGGGGTCGTTCTGATTTGAAAAAAAATTAATAAATCATATCATTGATCCTTTATTGTAAGTTTGAGTATGGAGTTAGTTGATTATATGTTTAAAGTGCTTGTGAACAAAACATTAACTTAACACAAACAAATGTTGAACTAAAACATATAAATTATAAATCTAATACAAAAGTGAATAGTTTTATACTTATGGATAGTTTCAATAGTAATAAAACAAATGAACTTACAATACACCAGAATATGTAGTCAATTGGAGAGAATTCATCAACAAAACTTTCATTATTTCAAACGAAGGCATGAATTGAAGCCCGTAGTTATATAACCAGTGCAACTTAACAAGAATTACACTCATCAACTGTCGTAATGATATAATTGAGAATGATTACTAATGGATATCTCAAAGGTTTATATGAGACTACCATGTACTGATTATTCATGTTTTTCATATATTCAACACCTGGTCAAGATACTATATTACAAAACAAAATTAAAGTGAAATCATTGTGAGACTCTAGCTCTTGGTTTATAAGGTTCTTCCAAATATTTGACATCTTCTTCATCCAATTTCAAATTGGCACCAACAATTAAATCATCAACTCTTTTTTCAGAACTTAATCCAACAATTGGTTGAGCACCTTTATGAATAACCCAAGCTGTAGCAATAGCTGCTCTTGAAACATTTTTTTTAGTTGCAATTTCACCAATTCTTTTAATGATTGCAACTTCAGCAGCTTTTTCTGGATCATCACCTTTTAAAATATAATTAAAATTACTATTCGCAAATTTATCATCTTTTTGTCTTTTTGTTAAATTAGAGTCAGAATCAACATCTCTTGCTAAAACACCACCAGCTAATGGAGACCATGGAATAATACCAACACCTGTCTTTTTAGCATAATAGTTTAATTCATTTTCATCTTCTCTATTAATCAAATTATAATAACTTTGAACTGAAATAAATTTATGCCATCCATTTTTTTCAGCAATATGTTGGAATTCAACAAATTCCACAGCACGAGTAGTTGAAGCACCAATATATCTAGTAAGACCTTTTTCAACAACATCATTCAAAGCCTTCATAGTTTCCTCTTGTGGGGTATCAGGATCAAATCTATGAATTTGATAAACATCAATATAAGTTCCTAATCTTCTAACAGAATTTTCAGCTGCATCCAAAATATGTCTTCTTGATAAACCTCTATTATTTGCTAAATTAATAGCATCTTCTTCAGTTTTAATATCTGTAAAGAACATAAAGTCATGACCTAAACTTTCATCAACTGGACCGAAAACTTTTGTTAAAATAACAACCTTATCTCTTGCAATGTTATATTTTTTCAAGAATTTACCCAAAATAATTTCTGATAAACCATTTGAATAAGCATCAGCTGTATCATAAGTTCTAATACCATGATCATAAGCTTTTTTCAAAATTTTAAAGATTTTTTCTTCATCATCTTCAACCCATTCCATCCAACCTTTTGAACCAAATGACATTGCACCAATGATAACATTGGAAATTTTTAAACCTGATTTACCAAGGTTTACCCATGGGACATATTGTTTTTCATCTGACATTTTTTTGTATAACTACTGTTATTCTCTGATTGAATTTGAGAAACAACATATATCACTCATTGACACAGTGGACTTTCACATTCTTATATATGATTTCAAAGTCAATTAAAATAAAAGCTTAATTCCCTTAATTCCCAAGGTGATTAGTCAATAGTTGATGGAAAGGAATATATGGTATTTGACCCGTGATATTAGTAATTTGATTAGGAATATAATCCTCGTAGTACCATAGTATAACAATATTGCTTCTAATCTCCCTTAAAGCCTGTACACCTGTACTTGGCCACTTTACCTAATACGATCAATTCTTCAAAAGGTGAAAATCATTGAAGTTCCATTACAAAGCATTGAGTGTAATTACATAGATACCTGATCTATTTGATAAAACAACACCTTTTGCTTTACTTGCATTGTCACTTTTGACTTTGTGTAACTGGACAAATTTTTCAGTTTATTACCCGTTCTGTTTGGGGAAATGGTTATGTGGCACTGTGCTGTGATATTTAATACTCATTTCACTACTTTTACCTTCAAAGACCTCTAGATATCAATTTTTTTTATTAATATAGAAGTTATACAAGATCTTATGAACTAGTCTATCGTGGAATTCAATTTTGGTAACTTCATTTCACCAGGCCATATCTTAACCTTTAATAGCAGAATTAACTTTTGCAGAAACACCATTATAAACTTGTCCAAGTTTATCCATTGCTAGATTTTGATATCTTTGTAAATATCCAGAACTTTCAATATTCATTATATCTTTTGTATTTGGTGTTGGAGTTGGTTGATTTCTTTTATAATTATCGACAGTTCTTTTTGGTTGAACTGGAGTTATAGTTGCAGCTTCATCTTTTGTTGCTTTAAATTCTTTTGCTCCTGAACTAATGATAAATCTATTTGGTGAATCTTTTTTTAAAGCATCACCGACGTTTTTATCTTTGTTTTCAAGCTTTCTTTTCAAACTATCAACTTTTGAACCAACAGTTTGGATATTTATATTATTTCTCTTTGGAGCAGCTCCTTTACGACCACGTCCTTTTGTTTTGAATAAATTATCTAGTTGTTTCATATTTTTATTTAAATTACGTTCTTTTTGAATATCTGTTCTTTTCTCTCCTCCAAAAGCACTAGCTGGTGATATAAATGTTGAAAGAATAATTGTGATTGCTGTAAATAAGCTTAAAAACTTGAAAATAGGTGACATTTTGATAGAATCTGGTTTTCCGATTTATACAAACAATTAAAATTTACATTATAACGACAAATATTGGAGACTTCGTTTACTTATATACCTACTCTTTACAAGTAGACACTGAACACTTAACAATGTCTAACATGAAAATTTCAACTCCGTTTGTCAAAATTTCCATAAAGGTGATAGTTTGAGACAAATTTGCATAATCATCATAAGATGTTTTGAAAAAGTAATTAATTATTCAAACGTCAAAAACTAAGTACAGTATGACTTAGTTTGAATAAAAAGGACACGTATAGGACACGTATATTTAAAAAGAACAAATTCATGTAAATTCAACTATCCAAGCTCACTTTTTGTCATCAAACTTTGTCCATTTGAAATATTTTTCATTAGGATTAATGACATCTCGTTCATTCTGTGTCTCAAATATTAATCCATATCCTTCACCACCAACTAACATGGCTCCCATATAGTCAAAGAATTTGGATCCAATATAACCATCTTTCTGATATTGGGACCTAATATTATTCAAATATTCATCGTTAGGTTCATATGTCTTGCTTAACTTCAAATCATTTAAATTTTCATATCTTGAAATTAATTGACCAATATCGACAACATCTGAATATATTCTAACCTTATCTGGAAGCTTTTCAAAACGCTTCGCTGTTAAAATTGAAGCAACTGATTTACCAACATCATTGATATAAGTTGGATTAACTTTTATTGATTCATCACCAATTATAGTAGCTTCTGAACCATTAATTTTAACTAAAGGTGTCACAAATGGGTTATTAACCTCTAGGAAGAAAAACCCAGTAAACAAATCAACACTTTTGATACCATTATCTCTTGCTCTCTGTGAATGCTCAGCTTTACCTTTCAATAATTCAGGGAAAATCTTTGAAGAAGCTGCACCTAAATCAATACCAAATTGTGGAGGTATATAAAGCTTTACATTGTTCTTGATGACTGAATCTAAAAATGGTTCAGATGACTTATTTGGATATCCTGTTAAATTAACAACAGAATCAACACCTTTCAAAGCATCATCAAATCCTTTTGAAACGTTCAAATATTCAACTTTTTCTGATTGGAATTGTTTCTTATCTGAGAATGTTAACAGCCTAATTGGTTGCTTAATTTGAGAAATGAAAGGCTCTGATAATAAGGCTTCAATAACAGGTTTCCCCAAGAATCCATTCAAGCCTAAAACTGCAACTGTGGACATTTTATAAATTGATTACTTTAATTAAAGCTCTTTCAATGTCTATAATCTACATGCTAATATCATAAAGAGTACTTGATTTATTTAGTTTGCTATATACTAATTATGTGACAAGGATGCGCACGAGCGCTTATATCCGGGTATTTATTATCAAATAATATTAATGTAGTTTAACATTTAGTCTACTTTCTATTTGAAACACTGAATATCCATTCACAATCAGATTCTAAATTTTCTTTATCTTCTGCTTCTGAGTCTGAATCACCAATTGTAAATGTTGGTCGACTTTGTGATGGTGATTTTTGATCATCTATATCTGAAATTTCACTTAACTCATCTTCAACTGTATCAGATTCTATTTCAGGATGAAGCCAACAATTTACAAGATTGTTCTTCTTTTTATCTTTTTTATTCTGATGTAACTCGGTTTTCCTATGCTCTTGTATATTATTTTGTTTCTGGGAATTTGTGTTCCTTCTTGGCTCTTTATCCCTTGTGGGATATGATTCAACTGAAATATCTGGATCAGGAGGTAAAAAATAGACTAATCTTTTTGGAGCTATGGTTATAAAATCCATTTCCTGAGATAAATCTTGGGAAAGTTCATTAAAAGCTTCTTGGACACTATTAACTTTATTAGAACCAGTATTATCATCCGAAACAAACATAGATGAAATGATAGATTCATCTTGAATTGTACTTTCACTATCATAATATACAGATTCTGTGTCAGATAATTGTTTTTCATATTCTAAATCCTCTATTTGTTCAACAGTGGTTTCATCTAAAGTTTTCTTCTCAGAAGTTTTGTTATTAGCTTTTGTTTCTGTTTCCAATTTACATTCTTCTTCCCATTCATTCATTAAAATTTCAGCAGGATTTCTTGAAGATAAACGATTATAGTGAATCCAATAACCTTCAGTATAATTTTTTGAAATAATTGGTCTATTTGCAATTTTATTCCTTAATCTTGAATCTGTGAAAATCACATCATCCCATTGGGGTAAGACAAATGGTTGAAGCGTAATATCAGTACAGCTTTTGCTTAAATGAAGATCTGCATCACAATGAATATGAGGATCAATGGGAACAAACAAATTTTCTTTGAAATTTAACCATCCAGGGTTTTCCTCATCATGACATATTGGTATATAGCGTGGGATTGATGATGGGTCTTCTTTATGTAACACATGAGATGAATAATAATGATCAAAATACTCAGATAAAGGATAATCTGAATCGTCTAGATAGAAACTTGCAAGACATGCTTTTTCTTTATCACCATCCAAATGATGTGAGCATACAATAACTAAGCTTTTCTTTTTCTCTAATTCACTACCATTATTATCATCATATATGAATGTATCACCAATAAATGGCTGAGTAACTTTGGAACCATCAGCGAAAATACCATGGATTGATCTCAAATGGTATTCATACCCATCATCTTCAAGAGAATAAGAAGTGACACTAAGGAAATCTGAAGATACACATTCGAAAGGATCACAATATGGGCATACAACAGCATCAACAATGCCTGTTTCAAAATTTGAACTATCTTTGGCATAACCGATACGTGCATCCTTTAATAAAGGATCAACATAATTTGGTTGAATCTTCCCATAGTGTTCATTATGGGCATTTAATTCAGTAAGGTTGTGCAACTTATCTTTGAATCTTTGAAAACTGACTGCATGGATGTTCACATCTTGTATATGGTCGACGTTGATCTTAAACCAATCAAGACGGTCGTTTGATTGAAGTTCAAATTGGTGTTCTTTCATTGTAATTTGTGGTTTTGATTACCTAAGCTTTATATGTGAGTATTAGTAATCTATATAGATGAAAGCCAATGAATATTTTGCATTTATAAAACCGTAGATTGTGCATTACTTAGTGTTTATATAGCTTTCAATAGTATTAAAAGCTCTCTACTTGCTTAAAGTGAATTCTCTCATAATATTGTTTATGGTGCAAAGAGCTCTCAAAAAATTGCGCATTGAAAAGTCATAAAATGAGCTCAAATTTGAGAGAACAGAACTTTATGAAATTTAATACCTCAGTTTATACACTCTCTACTAGGAGACTTTCACCTCTGCTAGAGTGAATTGGTTGAATATTGCAATGAATATCTCTTTGTTTTGGATAAAGCTCTGAATATGTATTAAGTTGAATTTGAGGCCGCGATTATCCGTGAGATTCATCTTTACAAAACATTATAATGAAGTATTTTGTGTCTATTTTAGATAGATAATTCTATCATTAAGGTTTACCTGAATAGATATTCAAAGTATTTTCCTTTAATACCAAAGCTAGAGCGAATAAATGAGTGTAATTTGTACTCTGTAAATCACCATGACAGAATCATCTTAAAAGACCTCAACCTTTAGGAGCACATATCATAGTTTCTGTTTAAAAGGACAATAAGTTAAAGTTCTCGTCAAATGTATATATATTGAGTCAAGTATCTTAAATCTTCTAAATTTCTTTCACTCTTGTACTCATCACACAAATCAAAACACAATGACGACTAAAAAGACAAAATCTATTAAAACTGCAACTACTAAAACAACTAGTACCACTGGTGAACATTCTACAACTACAACTACTACAATTACTACAAAAATCACTACTACCACAGAAACTACTACCGAGAAGCTTTCAACTGCTGACTCAAAAGGGGAGACAAAATTGCAAGTTTCACAGGGAATTGTTCCTGAAACAAGATCAGCTCTTTTACAAAGAGTTTACCTTGATGCTATTCCAAGACTTTTATCTGAATCAAGAATTGGTATTGAAGACTTGAAAATTTCCAAAATATTTGATAATGTTTGGATCAGAGTCAAACTTGCTACCATAAACACTAATATGAAGGTTCATGTTACATTCGACTCTTTTGAAAAGAAAGAATTTTTGAAATACTTATACAAGAGATGCTTTATTGGAGAATTTATCAGAAGTCATAAAGATGCTTTAACCTCTGATTCTGAAAATTATAAATTCCTATTTGAAAATTGTTACAAGTTGATTTTAAAAGCTCCAATAGTCAATGGGAAGTATTATCAAAAATTCGAACCTTTAGAGGATGATCGTCTAAGCATGATCAATGTTTTGACAAAGAAGGTTCATGATTTTTCAGTTACAAAGTATGCAAAGCCATTGAATGAAGATTATATCTCAGATGGATTAAAACAATTCCAATCAAAGTTTGATCCTTCAGTGACATCTGAAAAAAAATCATTGTACATTTTATCTAAATGTTTCAACTTCATTTCTTGTCATCCTAAAGCATTACATGGAGATGAGCTTGATATTCGTTTAAAGTTATTCTCAAGATCAACTTTATATCCAATCCGTGAAATTCTTTCAAACTTCACCCCTGATTCAAAAGAATTGATTATTAAATCTCATAAAATTTATGGATGTTTTGGTTATGCACGTTGCATTGAAGATAGTTATGTTAGACCACATTTAACATTTGGATACGATCATGAT